CAAGAGTGCCCCCCCCCCCCCCCCCTCCCGCTCGTTCCCGCTCGTTCCCAAGTACCACCAGCATGTCGTGTGCTGCATTTTCCTCACCAATCCTCCTCGAAATAGGCCAGTGGAGGTGATGCTTCACAGGGTAACCCCCACAACAGGATGTGATCAAGGCACAGCCAGCAGTTTTTCCTCGGATTCGAAATTGCCGTCCTTCGCGTGGTCCATTCTCGAATCTCAAATGACTGAGGAACCACGTCGGCACTCGCCCGTCCTTGCACACACACACTGTTTATCGCTCGCCGTTGTGTGCCCCCCGACAATAGTTTGTTGAACAAGGCGGGGATATTGAGGCGGGCGTCGGAGAAATTCCCGTCAACATGACGGTGATCAGGGCTACCATCGGCCCCGGAGAAAGCAGCGCCTGGGCGGGAAAGTCGCTCGACAACTGGAAGGTGTGTTGTGTTTTATTTGTTTGGTACTACTTGTACACGCTTTTTTCTTGCAGCCGAGAGCAAAGCGTCAGCGCGGACCCATCTAGCGGGTTGGTTGCCGAAAGTGGAAGTGCACGGATGGCCCGATGCTTTTTTTCTCTTGAGGAGTACTGGCTCCCCTCTCGCCAGTTGTGAACGGTAGCTTGGGGTCTTCCGGTTGTTGTGACTCCGGGCCTTCCGTTAGCCTACGGGACAGAGGTTAGGGTGCGGGTTCTGAGTTTGGTGGCGGTCGATTTTTTGTCTTGTTTTTAGGTATGATATGATGGGATAGTATTATTGGCTCATGTTCTTGGACGGGTTTGTTGGTTGACGTGCACGTGCCTGCCTGTTTGGTTTTGTCCGCTTGGTCGATCTGCAGGCGTGATCTCCTAGGTCTCCCACGTGCATCGGTACTGAGTGTACGACGGCGATATCCCGCTTGCCGTGTTTGCAGCAGCTTTCTGAAGTTTCCACCCCGATTGGGGACTTGAACAGCCTCATCAAAGGAAGAATGTAGGATCCAACGACCTTGACTTGCCGGACTGGCATAGATTGGGCTGGAGCCGCGATGGCGTGGTTTCTTGAATCCTCGCCTTTCTATCCTAATATGATATCTTCCACCCGCACCGCTCGGCCACCCCAGGGGCTTGAACCACTCACGGTCGAGCGAGAGGGCGTGCGAGAGCGACTGTTGGGCAGCGGGACGGCGGACGCTCCTTTGGAGCTCGAGGAGGAGGAGGGCCACCTCCTCCGCTCGCCAGGACTTGCGGGCGGTAAGAACGGGAGAGAGAGGCACAGGCTGTACGACCTGAACGGCGCCATGCCCCCTAAGGAGAGACCGGTCGCTGCCGCCGCGCGTGCCAACGGGGACCGATTCAAAGAACGTTCATCCCCCGATGGGGACCGATTCGAAGATCGTTCCTTCCACGCCGACCGATCCAAAGAACGTTCCTCCCCCGCCGCCGGGAAGGAAGGGTCGAGGAACGAGGGAGAAAACAAGCAGGCCTCTCCTGGTGGAAAGGCCGGCGGTGGCGGTGGCGGTGGCGGGTCGGTGGCGGCGACCAAAGCCGTGGTGGAAGAGATCGACGTGCTGGTCGCCGAGCGTATGAGGAGCATGAGAGCGGTGGACGTGGACCTAGCCGCCGCGGAACGCCCGACCCCCAAGAAGCCGGCAAACACTTGGGTATCGTCGCGACCACCACCACCGCCACCGAGTGCCGCCGCTTCCAACCACGAGAAGCCGGCCGTCAAGAAGGGCGGCGATGGTGGCGCAGACAGGCCCAAGAACAAGGATAGAGGTACGGCTACGGCTTTGGCTACTGCTACGGCTACTCCCACGAAGCGGTACAGGATCTCGTCCAGCAGTAATCTCCCGCCGGGCTGGGAAATCATTCGCAGCAAGCAGCCTGAGAAGAACGTGAGTTTTGTAGGCGGTCGATACAGAGAGGCGTTGCGGGTGAGGGGGGCTGAGGGATCCGTGGGTTGTGATGGGCGAGGGATGGTGCTACCTTGTCGACCATGGAAGGCTGTTTGATGTTGTTGCTATCTTGCCCTCCCCCTCCACGGCAAGTACAGTTGTTGTTGTTTCTCGAAAGGGGTTTTCCAGGCTGTCGTGCTGTAGCCGATGTCACTCGATTCTGCGCATGTTGTTACCGTGTAAGTCACATGAACTATTCCGTTGTCATTGGATATATTAATAGGAGTATCACCCATACCCCTTGGAGTAACCATTACAGCAGATGTTTCCATGTTACTTTCGTTTTCCGTTTTGGTACACTCGATTGTGCTCAACCCGAAAAATGTGTCAGCCAATCAGTGCGTAGCGAAGGACGTCATCTGAGGACGGCCAATTTGTTTTCAGCGGAGCTGGATAACTACGCTGAAGGCGTACGATGAGAACGGCCGTGTTGCCCAACTTTTTTTGCTATCTCCTCCCGCCACCCCCTCCAAAATATTCTGCTGCGTGGAGTATGAACCTTTGAGTCCATCTGCACCACTACCGCTGCCGTGCCTACACGTCAATCTTTGTTCCTCACAGCACAGCCCATGTCCTCCCCCCCCCCCCCCCCCCC